CTCCCAACCCAGCTTGGGACCCTCTTGGTTCCTTCATGCCCCACACTAGGGCCGCATCCTCTCCCCAATACCAGACCTTAAGCCCCTGCCTGACACTAGGTCTCAATCCCCTTAATCTCCTTGCCCCATGAGTTTACCCTTAGCTCCTTTGTAGGGCTCCACCCCCCTGAAGCCTCACACCTGACTCCTTCATACACCTCAGGACTTGCAGTGAGCCTGGGTCCTGCCTCAGGATTCACTGTGAGCCTGGGCCCTTGAAGGCCAGAAGTCTTCATGGTGTGCCCCCTAGTCTTTCCCCTCCACAGAGTAACACACAAGGCAGCAGAGACTCAGACTTTCTGGCACCACATACTCACCCTTCACTGGGCAGGCACAGGTGCAGCATTTCCTGGAGACTGCTCCACCACCAGCAGTCCCACCACACCATCCAGCCCCAGCAGGGTGTAGTTTTAAGTCATGACCCAGGACAAGAAGCCTCGACCTTCCCTACAGCTCCTTTCCTATACCTCCAAGATGTTATGAGCATCAGGTCTAGCCAGGCAATGCTCTCTCCTCAGCTGCTTGCAGCAGACTTCTGGCTCCGCTGCTCAGAGCCCTGTCCTTATAGAAAACAGCTGGGCCCCATTTCCAATCAGGCAGTTGTGCCTGATTGGGAGTGCAGTCACCTGCAGGCTGCTTTGCTATCTGCCTATGTCCCTGAGAGTAATAGTAACCGTTTGTGCTCTGTTACAGTGATGAGAAATAGCAGAGGGCTCCAATTTTCTTTCTTTCTGACCAGCAAAGCCAGCCTCTCTGGGCGCTTGTACATGTGATAATTTGCTCATGTACACGTGATGAAATGTGACAAAAATTCACCATTTGGCTAGCATAATGGCATCACTATGTACATGTGCATGAGGTTTTGTCATGGCAAACTGTCCTGGAGTGTGGCAACTTAGACCACCTCTAATGTATTTTAGTTTGATCATAGCAAATTGTCCCATTGTGGACAGAAAATCTGTCATGTATACATGTCACAGACATGTCAACACATGAAATTACATGTCATGAGACACACAGCAAACCTGGGTTTGTGTAGTTGTGCCTATGGGCACCTAATGTTAACTGGGGGGGGTGGGGATGTGTGCACCACAGTAGCCAGTCTAGCCCAAATTTGGGATTCACCAGTAAAAGGGATCTGCTGAGCGCCCACATAGTTTTCCTGCTGGGGGAGGGGGGTGGCATGGAAAAAGTGGGTGCTCAGGGACATGGAAAACCTGAAAGTGTGATTTTGGTCATGGGTTTTGGTGACTGTTATAGTGAGACCTGATGTGACACAAGCAGAAGCCACCAGTGCCTGAATTTGAGGTTTGGTGGTTAAACTGTTCTGCTGTGCACCCACAATTTTTTAATGCTGCCATCCTGACAATAGCCTGGGGCTGCTGTGTGGCCATTCACTAAACACAGGGGATGGATTGGTTGCAACCCCCAAAAGGAAACACCCCCAAACAGGCTGCCGTCCCAAGCACAGCCCAGGTCTGCTGTGGGTCAGATGTGAGGGGTGCCAGCAGGGCTGGGGGGGCTGTGGCTTCAGAATGAGGGGCACCAGAGGGGTGGGGGGCTGTGGTTGGGAGCATGGGCCACAGGCAGGGCCAGGGGGCTATGGGTCCAGAGTGAGGGATATCAGCAGAGATAGGGGGCTGTGGGTTGGGAGTGGGGGGCAACAGCAGGGCTTGGGGAGCTGTGGCTTGGTAGTGAGGGGCAGGGGAAGTGCATGGACACATCACTGCCCCCCTCCACAATCATATATCCCCTTCCCCCCAGAGGTGTCCTCTTCTTTGAAACTGGAAATATGGTAACCCTAAATAAAGTATACACTTCCCCCCTCCCCCTGATTAGAATCCTTTTTTAGATCTCACATGCTCAGACAGCTGGCAAAATGACATTGCTCCACCCACAAAGGGAGTGGAGGCTGCCCCACAGCATATAGTAACCACCATGAAATCAATCACATCAGTCACAAACCAGGAAAGTTCCCATAAAACTTTTATCTTGTCAAGCTGTGGCTGTGATGCTGCTTCCTTTCTGGTCCATTCATTTTCTGTTGTATGTTTGGAGCTCTATGGACTGCAGAACTTGGACATCCTCTAGTTCTGCCCACGTGTCCTGTCCTAGCTCCAGGGACTGTTCCATCTCATCTGATCCATCTGTCTCCTAAGGCTTTTCAAGCTCCATTGGTTCCTCTGGCCTCCATCCAGATATAAACTCATTTGTTTTCAAAAGCCTCTCGAACCCCTAACTAGTCTCTGTGCCTAAGGCAGTGCTGAGCACTAGGTCAGGCTCTTTGTAACAGGATTGGGTTGATAGTAAATTTCCAGACTTGCCTTTTGGTGACTCTGGTTTTTTGATATGCAGTTTTCAAGTTTCTCATTGAACTTAGTCTCCCTGCACTCAATTACTCTCTGATTAATTTCCTTCTCTGTCAGTCTTTTGGATATATTGTAGTATTGGTGATGATTTAGGGGGCATCTGCCCAAATCAAGGATCCTAGCTGATCTCACACAAGATAGAACAAACCAAACTTTGGTGTGACTCAACCTCCGGCTTGGTAGCTATATGATAGAATGAGGAACTCCCACTCTGTTGAAGTAGTATTTGACTTCTGTCCAGAAATGGAACAGGGCCTGTGGAAGAGAAAATGGCTATGTAGAAGGACAGAAATTAGATCCCCCAGGGAAACTAGAAAGGAACTAGAGGACTCTAAGTGCTGGCACTTTGTAACCCAGTTTAGAACCCACATTAAAGGCTGATGACAAGAGAATTTCAAGGAGATTAATTTCTAAGTGGTTTCCTTAAACCAAATTAAACTACTATGTGGATCCTCTTATTCAGAGTGCTTCATTCTACTTCAGTTTGACTTAATTCACTTCCAAAGTTTATTACACACTTTAATACTAGATAAGGATATCCGCACACACTAATGTAACGTGATTTGATTCATCCACTTTAAGTTCATTTAGATTAATTTTCCTGAGAGTCTCCATGTAAAAAGCTCACACTGAAATTTCAGATCTATCTACACACCCATCCAGTTAAGCAAGTTAAGGTTCCAAGCATACATAAACCTGTGTAGAAGATTTTTGGCTGTGACTAGTAGGAGATGTTGAAGTAAAACCCAGAGAAGAGCTCAGGTTAAATGTGTAGTAAAGACATACTCTTGAGCAGTGGTTCTCAAGCTTTTTTGGGCTAGTACGTATTGATGGCCAGTCCCAACCCAGTAAGTAGTTTAAATAGAAAACAATCCCCTGGCCCTGCTGGTGCCCCTTACTCCCAACTCACAGCCCTCTGGCCCTCAGGACACAGCTCCCTGGTGTGTGGGGCAAGGGGGGAGTTTGGGGCATGAGGGGGTATGTGCCCCACCCCATCTGTGCACCCACAGGAGGCATGGGCTGTAGCTTAGTCAGGCTGGCATGGGCAGGAGCTGCCTCTATGCCCCAGTGGGCAGGACCCAGCATAGGAGGGTGGAGTGGGGTGGCGAGACTTGTTGCTGCCGCCACTGCTGCTGGGACCCCTATACCAGGCATGTTGCCAGCAGCACAAGAAGTAATGTATGGGCGGGGGGCACTGCCCTCACCTCCTCCTGCTGCCTGCCATTTGTACTTGGCTGCAGCTCTACCCTGCTGCCATGGTCCAATCACTGCCACTGCTTTTTTCTGCAGCAAAAATAAAGCTGTTTATTAGTATGCACAGTGTTAACATATGGTGAAGCATCTATTTTTTCAAAAATGTATGTAAAATATAATCCATTTTTAAAGTTTGTTCATGACCCTTTCATATATTCTTGCAACCCAATGGCTGAGAAATGCTGCTCTTGAACATATATATGTCTTAGTCAACCCCCATTCAGCAGAGAACTTAAGTAAATGCTTTCCTTTAAGCATGTACTGTAGTCTCATTGATGTCAATGTTAAACAGATGTTTAAGTAATTTCTTTAGCAGACAGGCTTTCCTGAACGTGAACCTAAATGCTGCACTTTTTAACAGGCTGCTGGCCATCCTGGTTGTGGTACAATGCCTGCTGGAACTTCTACTGATCTGGTATACCATTACATTGTCCCTAACAAGGCCTCATATGTATATAGGTAATAGCTTGAAGCAAAATGCACAGAAATGCATCAGTTTGGGAATTCACAATTCCCTTTGGTCGTCCCCTATGCTAGAGCCAAAACAACAGCTTTCATTATTGTTTTCCAGCTTTAATTGATTACCCCTTTTATTACTAGCTGCAGTTGTAGCCCTCAGAAAATAAAACAAAAATTATTCATTATATTAAAAATTTCTCTAATCTTCATTAATGTTTGCTCTCTTTAGTGTTATTTATTGAATAATTAAATTACCATTAGCAGATGGTAATTGAAGTATATAAAATGCAAATGCCTATGCTATCAAACAAGCATATTTTACTGACAAAATTTAATTTAAATGCATGTAGTGAATGCTTATTTTTTGTGCACAGAATGGAGCGTAATGGGGATGCATAACATGTCTCACTTAGATTAATTAATCTATTTATTCAACAGATCAAATTGATGCCAGTAGTTTAGTTAACATTATGGAAAGATAGGTGATATTTGAGCATATGGTCTGCAGTTAAAATAAGCTTTTCTGTTGTATGATTGGAATTTCTCTCTTGTTCTTTAGTTTAACAAAACACAAGCAGCAGCTTTAATGGTATTAAAGAAAAGGTTATACATTTTGTTTTGCACAATAGATAATCCCATTTCTTTGAACAAACTCCAGTCCCTGAGTTATGCACTTGTAAAAATGGAGGACATCTTCTATTTCCTCCCAGCAATGTCTTCCATACTTCTCTTGCAGTGAGTTTCATCTTGCATCCAGAGCTCTTATTATTACTCCCATTACTTTCACTGTGGACTGATCTGGAATGGTTCCCTCCCACTATTCACTGATTCAGGATTAGCCTGTAGTAATTTCAGCAG